AATTTGAATATTTTTAAATGTCCTCTGATTTTATAGACTCATGGATTTATACTTAACAATGTGTATTTTTATGATTAAAACACATAGTAAACAATATTCACAGATATGGAAACAGACCAGGCAGTGATTAATCTGAGTTTTTGTGAGCTGGAACACAGTGATGGGAAGAAAACCCAGGACCTAGTTAGATTAGGCATTTTCTTTTCCTAATCACATATTTTCTAATGCAGATTTTCCCAATGCTTCACTATTTATGAAGCATTTTATAAATATAAACCTTTTGACACCTTTGCATATTTTTCATTCACCAGCAAACTGAGACTCAGAGAGACTAAATAATTGCCAGGTTTACACAGCAAACATTATCAGCATGTTCCGATTAACTTTTGCTAACTTAATAATTTAAAAGTGTTATGTTCTCAAAGAAGCATTCCCTTACATATTAGTTAAGTATTTCATTTCTTTCCCAGACTTAATATTTTATGTTATTTCAGCTCTATTCACCTGGTCCATTAATTTCATATCTGCACCTTTGGTGAAATACAACTAGAGTCTCTAATAAAATATGTGTTTGTTTGTGATAACTGTGTTAAAAGTGAAATTTAAAATAGTGGAAATGTAGAACAAAATAAGCTATAATATAGTCACAGAGTAAGGCACTTTAAAGACATCTCAGTGGTCCCAAGATAAGTACCACTTGTCCAGGTCAGAAGCATCTGGCCTTTGAGATTAACATCCTGTTACAACTGGATACTCAAAGTCAGAGACTCCAATTACTACCCTAGCTGTTTTTCTTCCTGTTTTCTTAAGAAAGCAGCTAAGTCCTAAATTAAGCACTGAAAATCATTTTGTGAGGATATAGTCTGAACAACATCAATAAGAAGAGCTCAAAGGTGTAATTCCAAATGTTCCTACCTTTTCAAACCTGCCTTTCAGAATTTTGTATCTTTGAATTTATGTGAATGTCTACACACATTTCTTGAGTTAACCAGATTCTACATCTTATTTGTCTTATTCCAGCTTCAGAGGTATTCCTCATATCAAGTAGTCTGGGAGTTAGTAGACAAGTGTATTTGTTCATTCTCCAGATTCAGTCCAATTATAAGCTGCTAGATATTGCCTCTTGCAGGCTTTTAAATAATTTTAGAATGAAATACAAGATACTCTTACTTACTCTGAAAGCACTTACCTGGCCTATTAAAAAAATCTTTTTCCAAATCTTCCACCAATCTATATATTAATATTTAAAGTTCCTCATTAGTTCAAACTCATCTAACTTTGTGCACCCTTGAATCTCCTTAACCATCTCTAGCTCAGGTTTGGCATTATAAATATAGGTTATTGTTATGAATATTGAAAGGAGAAATCTATTCTTTTGGAGATGCTTCCCTAGTTTGTCTTATGTAAAAGCACCTCAATCCTTCATATTCCACCATCTCAGCTACAAATTTTTTCTCTGGTTTTGCATACGGAATGGGAACATCTTAGGAAAATGGCTGGGCTTATGTACTATTTACTCGAAACATATGGAAATCCACATTTAACATTCAGTATCTTTTTGGGGAATGTTCGGATATGTATACTATGTATATAAACCAATGAAGGTCAAATCCTTGGCCCTTAGAGGAAAATCTCAATCTAGCTCTCTCAACAATAAAAGATTTATTGCATAGAACCCAATTGATAATCATCTTGAGGAGCCAGGTACAGATGTTCTGTACTCTTCTAGCAGGCACTTTAGGTTTTCAAAGTTAAACAGGAAGAATACATTCACTTACCTAAATCATCCACAAATATTCAATGCTTGCTCATTCAAGGACTCTTCACTTTGTCCTTGTACTTCCTACCAAGGTAAAGGCCCCCTCCACCTTGACTTTTTGTACATCCATCTTCTGTCTGTGGAAAAATAGCTATAAACCATATGGACAAGGGCTATATATTCCCACGCCAGCCAAGCACCTTAGTAGAGCATATAGTATCGGGGTGGAGAGAGGACAGGTATTGGAATCGGTAAATATTCCTCCCAAGATTTGTCTTAATATTGACCATGGTTCATGTTTTCTGGTGGAGAAACAAGGTAGGAGTGGGAGTGGTTAAGTCATGCACATCTAAATATAATAGGAACGATGAGAAATTGGAAAATAAAAGTTATAAATGCCACATTCTTAATCTAGATTATTCATGTCAGTAGCAGGTGAGATAGGCACAGTTTGAGCGACAAGACAGTGTTTTGCTAAGACTGACAGCTATAATACATTTGAAAGCACAATGATGTGCCTAAGAATGAAATTAAGGATTCGGGCAGGATTATAAAGGATTTAACAGCACTAGTGCTGTTTATAATTTAGAAAGAGCCAGAAACTTAAAAGAAAACTGAGGCGGGATTCCAAGGGATTCTTTGCAGTTGGAAAGACACGTATTTGGAAAAGAATAAGCTTAAATGACTTAATAGAAAATAAAGTGAAGAAACACCTAAATAAGTGCCTACTTTGGACCAGGTAACTCACATATTTTCATTAATTGCCAAAATAAGCCCAAAGGTTAAAAAATACTTCATTTTGTACCCCGAGAAGCTCAGGCTTAAGAAGGTAAAGGAATTACCCCAAGGGCACATAACTCTTTCATCCACCCTGAACCACTTCTGTGAATATCTAGACCACTCACATATTCATGGGAGCTGAATTTAATACTGGTATCCTTATAACATGTGTTAAGATTCAATATTAACTTTGAATTTCAGCGCTGGATGGTTAGCTAACCATGAATCAGTCAACAACATTCTTTGACCATCTAAAACAGACGAATAATGGGGGATATTAGAATTCTAAAGGAATATAACACCTTATTCCTGAGATGAATAGCATTTGAAGGAGAAAACAGAATGTGCGCAAATCTGTAAAAAACATGTGCACATTTACAGAAATATGGGTTCATCCAGAATCATTCTGTAAGCAATTAAATGAGAAGAACGTGACTAGTGATGGTTGTGGAAATGCCCTGAGTTACTTAAGGTGGGTTAGACACCTTAAGATTTGTGTTTAGAAATTAAATTTTACAAAATGTGCCAAACAAAATGAACTTAGCATCGTTTAATCCTTACAGCCATCTTGTAAAGTAGATAGTAATGTTCTTCCTATTTTACTGGTGATGAAACTAAGTCAGAAAGAGTTGACGCATCATGCCCAGGTTTCCAGAGGTGGTAAGCGGCAGAGCGGGCATTTGCACCATGGCAATACCAGAGTCACTGCTCTTCTGCTGAACTTAGGCTTTCTGCTTCATGTAAGTGACCATGTAAGTGTGTGGGCCGTGTTTATCCAGATTCTGACTCCTTAACCCTTGACAAAGTTTCTACGTGAAAACATTTTCCCATTGTTCTTAGAGGGGTCAGGTCATTAATTTACTCAACACATTTTTCTTGAATAACCATAATGTGCAACACAGTGCAGTGCTCATGCTGGGGACACAGCGGTGAACAGGTCAGACAAGGACCCTGCTCTGTTGCATGGACTGTGCTGGGCACTTCATACACAATAACAATGCATTACAATGCATCTTCGTTGTGAAAAGAATGCGCACTTTCATTAGACTGAACAAGGGTTACCCTTAAAAATTAACATTATTCTTCCAAAATTTCTATTGAGTGAGACGGTTTGGGGGGATTCCTAAGAACCAGAGAACCAGTTTAATTGCCCTTACAGTCTTAGAATGATTTTCTGAATGAAGCCTTAAAACACGTAGTTACATTTTCATAATATAAGCTGCTCATGTCCATTTTGGAACAGCTTACTCCCACTGCCCAAAATTGCACTTGTTACACACTTAGTGTTGTTTATCCCGCAGCTCTAAGTAATTCGGTGTGGAATGGTGTTTATAACAACGTGGAGGGTGAGGTAGGTATAAGACCCATCGCACATTAAAGAAACTACCAATCATTTGCCAAATTTCAACTGCTTTTTAACAGTTGTTGTTGTCGTTTGTTTGTTTTCTGATGTTAAAGGCCCACCTCTGAAATTCATCAAGCTACACCCTTTTACAATGAGCCAACATTCTTGAAACCTTTTAAGGTGATCCCAGGTTTTAATAAGCAGGGAAGGGCTCTAAAAGTGTTTTCCTCCTCTTGCTTCTATACATGCTTCCTCACCTGCTCACTGGAGTAGAGGGGTGTCAGCCTGAGGCTCAGAGAAAGACCCCTTGTGAGTCTGCTGACTAAGCTTGCAGCAGGGACCCACATGGCATGACAGAACGGGCTCCTTGCATACATGCAGTTCCATAGTTAGTTACATGCCCACGCATAGGCGTGGATACCCATGGATGTATGCATTTTTGTATGCATGTGCTGTGAGCCAGCATTGGTCTCCCCCTCCTTTATCCCGACCCCTGAGGAAACCCTGCAGTTTCCTGGAATTCAGGGAATAAATAACGAGATGAGGCAAATAGTCCTTTTTCCTTCCCTGGTGGCTGGGACTGCTCAGAGCCGGGAATATGCAATGCCTTCCCTTACAAGCAGCTAATAAAGACAGACTGAAAAGATGAGCAAGAGAATGCATGGATCCAGAAAGGGGCCGCTGCACAAGAGATGATGCTTCGGGAGCTACTGGGCTGATTTCTTTCTTTCTTTTTTTTTAAATATACAAAGCCCTGGGAGGCTGCAGGGGAGGCAAAGAAACCCTGAATCTAAAATCCTGAGATTTTTCTAACAGCTCCTAGAAACCACCGCCAGGCTCCAGCCCCGGTCTGGGTCAAGGAATTCCAGGGATGCAGGCTGGACGCACCGGTTGAAACTCGAGGCGCCGCATCTGCACTTTGCGCCTTGGTGGGCTTTGCGCTGGGAAGACGCGTCCACGCACCATTTTCCCAGGCGTTGTGCGGGGAAACCGCTCAGCTGGTGCCTCGGCAGAGTTTCTGGAAGCTCCATCTCGACTGCCTCCCCTCCCCCCTTTTTGATTTTACCCCCGCGAGGAGCTTCTCCAGCCCCACAGCGTCCGCGCTCTGAGGGGTACAGGTGCCGGCGTCCCGCCGGCTACCGCCGCGTCCGCCCACGCTGCCTCCTCCCGGCTGGCCTGGGGGCTTGACCCAGCGCCGCCGCTTCTCGAATGGTCTCGTGCAGGGGCGCAGCGGCCGCTGCCCGTCGCCCGGGACTCCCCGCCCTCCCTCGCGACCCCGCGCCGGGGCGGGCGGCGCTAGCGGCGGGCAGGGGGCGGGCAGGGGAGAGGGGGCTCGTCCGGGGGTAGCCGCCTCCTCCGCAGCCCGCCCGAGCCTCGAAGCCCGGACCTGCCTTCGCATCTTCCTCCAGCGGCTGCATCCCGCCTCCCGCGCCTCGTCCTCCCGCCGCCCCCGCCGCCGCGCCCCCGGTGGCAGCCTCGGCGGACACGGCAGGGGGCCCGCCGCGTCGGCCGTCTGCTCGGCTCGGCTCGGCCCGGCCCGGCCCGGGAGGCGTGCATGCCCCTGCGGCCCGCGGCGCTCACCAGCAGCATGCTCTATTTCCAGATGGTGATCATGGCAGGGACGGTGATGCTGGCGTACTACTTCGAGTACACGGACACGTTCACCGTGAACGTGCAGGGCTTCTTCTGCCACGACAGCGCCTACCGCAAGCCCTACCCGGGCCCGGAGGACAGCAGCGCCGTGCCCCCCGTGCTCCTCTACTCGCTGGCCGCCGGGGTCCCAGTGCTCGTGGTAAGCCCGGGGGCGCTCGCCCTCGCCCTCGCCGACTCCCTTCTCGCTCCCCTGGCCTTCGGGGTGGAGGCCCCGCGGAGGGTTGGGGCGCGGTAGGCTTTGCCTCCAAGTTCCTCCAAGTTACGGGCAGCCCCTTCCCCAGAGGACATTCTGGGGAACGTAACGGGTGGGTGCGAAGGACGCCCCCAGCGCTTCCCGCAGGCCACCCCCGCACACCCCCGCATCCTCCGCGTTGGTTGCAGCGTCGGGTGACGGGGCAGGGATGGAAGGGAAGAGGGGCTGTAGGTGCTGAGGGGTGGGCATCGGGGTTGCAAAGGAGGTGAGCTTTGGGAGTGGATCTTAAATCCATCCAGTCTGTGGCCTTGCCTCACTCAACTGCCTCCTCTCCGATTGCTCCTGGAAGAGCAGTGGCTGGCGGGCCAGCGAGGAGACGCGGGATCAGTTGCTGGCGTGTGGAAGGGACTCCCGCTTCCCGAGTCGGGACACGTATTTCTGTTTCACCACCTCCTTCCCCTTCAGATGAAAGTGCCAATGGGACTAAGCTGACCAGGGAAGAAATATCTGAAAAAGAATTTGAGAATTTCTAAATGAAGAGGCCTCAGCAGCAGTGCTTTGCTGAAAAGCAGGAGCTGTGCCTCAATTACCAGAGCACTTCAGATTTATTTAAAGGCTGCTCTGCTCCCTGGGCAGTTTAAGCCCTTTTCTCTTAGAACCTCACAGAGCATGTCTTTTGGATTTATTGAGTGTGTGTGTGTGTGTGTGTGCGTGTGTGTGTAATGAGAGAGAAAGAATGACTGTACAGATACACACACGTATATATACACACATCACATATATACATATGAAATTACCGGGATAAGTTACACATAATAACATTAATTTTATTATAATAATTTACATATGTGAATATTCTACAGATTTATTCTTAGGAGAATTGTTGGTGTTTCTTCAGAAAACCTGCTATGTTATGGTTCCTTTAATGTTGACAAAGTCTTGGGGGTTCCCTTCTTGTGATGTGCGCTGTCTGTCTCTCTCAGTAGATAACAAACCGGGAATTAGAAACTGAAGAGAAAAGGAAAAATGAAGTTTTATTTGCAGTAGCAAAATGTGTAAATTGCAAGAATGAATGTTAAGAATGTCTGCTGAATCCATTAGATTTGGATATTCATCTTCTTTTTTGAGTTTAGGAGCAATAACTTACTAATTTGCAAAATAATGAGAAGTTCCTAACACATAAAATAGAATTCAGTGAACAAATCAAGGAATTTCTTGATAACCTTAGAGAAACTTTTTCACATGTTCTGTGATAGTTGACTTCAAAACCTCTAGCATAATGGTTTGAAATGTGTTAGACCTTGCCCCAGATAATGTTTTGCTTTTTAAAATATATATTATAAGTTGCTAAAATTGGTCAATGGCCCCAAATCCAGCCTTCATGTTTATGTTCTCTTCTCTCTATTTTGCAAGCTGGCAGAGAAAAAAATGGTCGTTTTGTGGGGGGCACTTTTTACTTTCTGGAGATCTGGGTTTCCTGTACATTTTTTCCAGGAAACTGAATGACCCAGATATTTTTTCAAGGATGGTTTTAAAGAAAAAAAGGAAAAGCTTATTACTTTCAGTTCATTGGTTTGGTCATAGCTATAATCAATAATGTCTGTAATCCATCCTTTAATTACCATTTTATGTCTTATTTAAATGAGATAGCACTTTTCAGTCTTAACCAGCCAGTCATGGTGACAGGTGCTAGTTAGAGACAAGAACACACTGGCCCAAAGATTTGGCTGGTTCTCCACTTAGAGGAAATATAGGATGGAGAAAAAGAATGAATCAGTCACTATTTAGTGCGTGCTCTATTCTGGGTGCCAAATAGTCATAGTTGCATATATTTCTTAGAGCAGCTCTACCAGGAGATATTATCTCCAATTAATATTTGAAGAAACTGAGGTTCAGATAATAAATTGGGAATATCTGGAAACATAAAAAGGGTAGGTATGACATTTGTATGCCTATAGGACTGATACCGAAGGCCATGCTACTTCCACTGCTTCCAAAGAGCTTGTTGTCTGAAAGAAGATGGAAACTGGCTGGTCAGGCAGGCGTTGAGACTGTAAGTGGATACATTTTTCTAAAGTCAGAATCCAACTTGATTTCCATGTTTTGACTTTTAGTTCTTTTAGGTACAAGAGAATGGATTTGGGAGCCAGTTTAGAATAGAAGGAAGTGGTGGGTTTCGGAGGATAGCTGTGCTTCCGGCCTTTGCTTTCCCTTCTGCTTCTGGGAATAGGGCACTCTGTCACCATGTGAGGGTCTGGGAGCAGTAAGGGCAGCTCTGCCTCTCCACTCCTCTCAAGAACACTGGGTTAGCATGCTCACTTGGCATCAAAATAATAATATTAATAATGGTGTTAACAGTACCCATCATTTGTTGAGTCATTACTTTCTTCTGTATACTCTAATAGACTTGCTACGTACCTTATATCCTTCTGATATTTGCATTTTCTCTGAAAGCAATAACTATTATTCTCATCTAATATTTGGGAACACAAAGGCTTAGAAAGATTGTTCAAAGACCAAGGCTAACAATGTTAGACCCAGAAGTCTCCCCCTACTCTATCATACTCTCGAGTGTGGTTTTCCTATAACAGGATGAAAACTCAATTTGCTCATGAAACATTCTTCTAAATAAATGCCTCAAAAGGTCTCTTTTACATTTTTTGTGCTGTAGTAATAAAGGCTCATATATAGATCTTTAACTTTCAAACTGATTTCAAGTTCTTGAGAGTAACTTTGAAAAGCAGTTCTCACTACCACAATCTATATATTTGATTCATACTTGTGAAATTCAATTATGTAAAAATTAAAAACAATATGTATTTTGAATTTTGTCACTTTTACATAGTGCTGACTTGGGGCGCAGGTTCGGAGCCTAATAAATTTGGATTCAAATCCAAAGTACAGTCTGATGCTTTGTTAAGAGTTGGGAACTCTACTTACTGTGTAATCTTGAACAATGTATTTAAGTTCCTTAAGCCTCAATTCCCTTAGTGACAAGGTTTTGAATATCAAATTATAGTTATAATATGCAAATATCATCTTTGGTCCACAGTTGATACTCTGTAAGAGTTCACTACATCATTAACATTATTATTATTAAGAAAATAGTAATTCAGTACATAGTTATTGAATTCCTGTGTTCCAAGCGTTATATCTGGCAAAGTAGAGGTTCTTAAGGCAACTTCAGCAGTAAACCATAGTAAGTGATCCTAAGGTGTTTACAGCATAATTTGCGGACTTAGATAAACATACCACAGATCATAATTATGACAGAACTTATACATGTGTATGTGTATATGCATATACATGCATCTGTATCTACCACAAAGACCTCTAGTGGTTCCGAAGAGGATGAGATCAGTTTTATTGGAAGACAGGGGGAAAGCTTCATGGAGAAGATGGTGGCATTTAAGGGGTGTCTTGAAGGAGAGGCTGAAACGGAATTTGAGTTAGGACATCACAGAAGCAGTTCCGTGAACAGCCCTGTGGAGGCAGCAAAGGGAGACTGTACTCTTGAAACAAGTTGGTTTGTTTTGTTTCTAAGAGTGGTGTGGGGAGAAACTGGGTATACACCTGAAGAGGAAGGCTGGGGTCACAAGACCTGGAATGCCATGCCAGGCTGAGAGATTTTCTCAATTTGGTAGGAATTTAGCAGAGACAAAGTCTGATGGGTGGTGTTTTAGGACATTTGTTAGGTAGTAGTGTATAGGACTCTAATGCTACCAAAATACATAATTTGAAACTCTTCATATTCAAGTTTATTTTCTATTGCCTAATATTATTTCAATTGTATTTTCAGAAAACACCTGTAATTTGGGCTTATTTACACAAATGATATAGTTTATAAACTCTTTGAAAATAGGTACTGTTCAGTTTGTTCTGTATAGCATTTGCCAGAGCACTGCATACTGCTTATACAGGTATAGATTTAGTTAGTGACCCTTAGTGTTCATTGACTGAAAGAACTGGTGATGACAATGGTTTCTGCTCCCCACATTTGGATATAGTGACCACTAGCAGCTATTGTTCCTTAGATCCCTGAGCAACATAGTGATTGAAAGGAGATGAAGTTAGATTGCTATCTTCATAAAGCTAAAATAAAGAAAACCAGCACCAGCCAAGGCAGCCCCTGACACTGAGCACAGCAGGTTTGAACGTTAAGGTACATCTCAGATTATTTATGTCTGCAACCCCAGGAAGCTCCCTCTGGACCCTGAGACTTAGATTTGAGAAATGTAGCTACTGCTGCTATCCCAAGGGTGCTGGCATCATTGCATGTGGTGAAGATAGGTGATAGAAGGTCATCTCATGCCCAGAGCTCCCCATTGGATCGATGTGCCTAAACTTTCCCATAGACCTCTTTTCTCCTAAACTCTGCCTTAGGTATCACTGCCCATCCCCATTCCTGGATCACTCTCCTGTGGTGTGGTACAGGAGAAAATGCACAGGCGTGGGTTACAGATGTGTCTGGATTCTTATCCTGGTTTCTCCCACTTACTAGCCATGTAACATCAGTCAAAATGTTCTCATTCATAAACTGGACATCAAAACACCCACCTCTTGGAGACTCAGTACATGTAAAGGTTAAGATCACAGACTTTGAAGCCTTCTTGGGTTTGAAGGCCAGATCTGCTACTTTCCAGCTGTGAGAATTTGAGCCAGCTACCTTCTCTATGCCTCTGTTTTCTCTATTGTAACATAGAGGTAATGAATACTGGCCTCACAGGATTACTGAGTATGAAATGGGTTAACACGTGTGAGTATCAGAGTAGTCCCCCGCTGTATATGTGTTAGCTCCTGTTAGGCTTTCCAAGGCTGTGTTGATTCAGGAAACCTCTTTAAAGCACCTAGCAAAATACTTATGTTTGTCAGTGGATTCCAAGGCCAGAAAGAAATTCAATGTGGATAGAAACCACTTAGTTTAGTCTACTGGCCATCACAAATTG